AAAAAGTATAAGCAACATCACAAAACATATATTAAATTTTATGTGTATGAATGTATAAAAATATAAACCAGCTTGAATCAAATGAAATTGCCAATATTCCACCAGTTTTGACCTCCAAAAATGACAATTTCATGCTTCAATTGTGTATGTGTCTGTGGATGTATGTACACACACACACACACACGCACACACACAAAATGACATTTTCTTGAAGAATAGATTTGGAAATATTACCCATACCTGCCATATATGTATGTATAAACATAAATCTGTATACAAATCATCAAAACCTGTCCTGGCTAAAATTCTGCCAGGTTCCAACAATGCTTTAAAGATTTTTGCATTGTCTCTTGTGGCCTGTCAATAATGCCAAGGACTAAGCACCTCTTTAATCATCAGCAGCTTTTTAGGCAAAATGATTAAAATTATGCACTCCCCCCAATTACCCAGCTAGATGCCAGATTAAGATTTAGAGTTTTTTTAATTTGTATGCCTTTATTCCAACTCAATTAAGATGATATAAAAGTTTATTGCAAAAAACAAAGTGCATAAGAAAATTTCATGCAACCTATTCATTTAAAATTTAAAAACAAAAAAAGTGAAATTTATCCACAAATTTGCTAAGCTATGAGTTTAAGTTTTTCTTTAAAAGTACAATTGACTTTATTTTGACAATTCTGATCACTATGTACAATATTCACTTACCAAATTAAAACTAATTAAAAACTATCTAAAGAAACCTGTGGGACAACATCAGAGTATTACTCCGCAGAGAAATCCAAATATCTGGGGAAAAAAACCACTGTAAAACTTACCAATGATTTTATTAAGACAAATTGAGTTTAAAATAATTTAAAATTTGCTTATATTGTGCTCGCCTCGGCAGCACATACACGAAAATTGGAACGATCCTTGGCCCCTGCGCAAGGATGACATAAAAAAAAACTGCTTATATTAAGCTGAATAATGTTTTCTTTATTATATTGTCATCTTTTGCTTTAAAGTTTCAAAATGAGTTCATACAGTAAAATGCTTTACTAAAAATTTGTTGTTAATTACAGACTTATCCATGTATGATAAAATGCATTTATTTGTTCTGTAATACACGAGGGGTTCTTTTTTTTTTTTTT